CAAAGTACCCTGCATTTCCTCTGCTATGTTTTTTCAGATGCATTCCAGTCCAAACCTCTTGATTGTTGACTCATTTTAAGCCCATTGCCTTTATAAATTTTATATTTACTACGTTAAACTTCAACTTGCGATGAAGATATGTGCCCAAAGTATCCTCTTCCAATGAGTTCCATGAAAACATAGAATAAATCTTTCTAATTAAATAGCAACAGTTGCTGGAGCGGAAGGACAAAACTTGATAATGGCAACAAATGGTTAATCTTTTTTTGTGACTACAATTCTCAGGACTCCTTGGGGGAAATATTTTACTATACAAAGACATTCTATAGCAGTGGTTCTCAACCTTTTTAATGCCACGACCCCCAACCGGTCGTAACTGGAGGACTACCCAACCGGTTGTAACTTGAGGACTTTCCCTGCCCGGGAGCGCTGTGCATGCATGGTGCGCCCCCTGCGTCAACCGAGGTGTAGCTGGCAAGCGGCAGAAACGGCGCAGGCTGGCCCAGCCCAAGGGAGGTAAGGCACCCGCCGGGCCCCACGCGCACCAGCAACCCTCCCTGCGCCCGCCGGCCTCCCACCTCCTACCCCTCTTTTACTTACATTTTTAGTAGTTGCTCAGCAGGGAGAGGTGGAAACTTCCAGACAGCTCGCCTTTGCTGCAGACAACTTGCAGCACCGTTTGTAGAATGGGACTTTTGGCGGGCTCAGCAGGGCAGAGACAGCCTGGACAATTCCTATTGGCTTTCAAAAGCCAATAGAATAAAAGGGAGTAGCACAGCTAAGGAAAAGGAGGGAAAATGGCGGACTGCGTTGTTTGGTGACCCCGTGAAATGGTCATTCGACCCCAAATGGGGTCCCGACCCACAGGTTGAGAACTGCTGTTCTATAGTAAGAAGCTTATAGTTTGCTCTTATAAAGAGGTTTTATAAAGATTGGTAAAGTGCCAAGCTTTATATGGAATATATATATTTTAGGCAATATCCTTATCCTGTTTTAGTTTAATCTCATGTCAAGTATGCAATGGAGGAATTCAAAAATTCTCTTAGGTTATAGGATATCTTCCTAGTCACCAGAAGTCCAACCTCTATTTTGATCCTCCTGTCAGGTTGTCTCTAATTGTAGTCAATCCCCTGTATATTTATAGGCAGCCAGAACAGATAATTATAAACTAGCACTATGGCAAATAACTTTCTGTGCACAGCCTGCCTTATACTTACAATTTAAAGTACTCTGAAGATTTTATATAATTTAACTTTTTCCAGAATTTCAAATTCTTTAGGTGATGACCCATCATTTTAGGCATTTTGAGAAAGACATAGTCCTATCAATCTGCATGAAATAAACTCTTTCCATTATGTTTCCCTAACAATGTTTATTAAGGCTGGAGACCAAACTATCATGCCAGCCCTTTTATAAAACACCTCACTGTGCACATATCCTCATTTGCCTATAGTGGCAATATGTCTTCCGTTAGTTATGCATCATTATCAGCCCTTATCCATCCATTTAATCTTGTTTTCCAACTTCTTTGACAGGCTAAAAGCCATTTCCATTTTACACCTTTAAATTTGGTGATTGTTTTGCTTATTTTTGGGTCAACTGGTACAAATTCAATGTCTAATATTCATATGTTGGTGTACAATGTGTTAGCCCATTCCTGTGGTGGTCTCCCATGGAGAATGAGAAACACACGCAGGTATCTCGGGATGAGAGCCCAGAGTTGACTCCAGCACCCTCTTTTATTGTTATTAAGGTTTTTACATCACACAGCGTAATCAAAAGACGTATATAGGGGTGGTTACAATATATCAAATAACAGACTCTTTCCAGATGCAAGGCTACAGCAGGTGTTCTTATCAGAGTCTGTCCAAATGGTTGATGAATGCATCCTGTGTCTAGAGCCGGTCCCTTTGTTATCTCTGGGGCCCTTGTGGGAGATGCCCATGGACATTTTTGTGCAATTAATTCCACATCTCCTGCTTTTCTGTTTTTTCAATGTTACTCACTTCCAGTTCCAGAAGGGATCTTGATTCACTGATTAAGGCGTCCTTCCTAGTGGAGGGCGTAACATTTTTGCACATTTGCAGGAGGGAGGGAATACATTGAATGCAACAACATAGCAATACAAATAATATCAAAATGGTTACTATAATAGAAATCAAAGATCGTAGCCAGGATCCATCCGGTAGCCAGGACCAAAGGGCACCCCAGATATCCACGGTGCCTGATCCATCACTGCGTAAGGGATTATTTTGGAGCAAAGATTCCATTTTCCTAGCTGTAACAGAAATATTAGGTTGAAAATCATGTATATACATACAACAATGAGAATGAATTAAGGCACACACACCGCCTTTTGCTGCTAAAATAATATCTAAAGCATACCGATTTTGCAAAACTACTTCCCTTATTTCCCCCATTTCTTGATTAATCATTTTAATGCTGTTGATTGTTTCATTAAACATATGAACAGTCCAATTGTTAAGCAAATGAAGGTCTCTATAGTTCATGGCAACTCCTAGATTGGGTAGAATCCCTCTGCTGATTTGAGTACTGATTGTTTGTCCATTGATTGCTTCGCTAAGTGTCATTTACCTTAGTAAGGTTGCTTTTGATGGATTTGCATTTCTTTGCTGAATTCCATCATTGAAAGGAATGGCATGAAAAATAAGGCCACCACGACTGTCACCAGGAATCTGCATGCAGATCCAACAGTTCATGATGTTAAGTGTAAGAGCAGTGCGCCTGGCATCCCGTACAAAAGCATTAAAAGCCCACAGTCCCTGATCCTCATATGCCTGGCTGAGGTGGTGTACGTTGAGCCATATAAGGACGAACACAACGAGCTGGAGTCCAAATGATCTCACCATGGTCGTCTATTGCAGCATAGCCTCGACCCCAAGTAATGAGGGAGGCAGGCCCTTTCCAGGTGGGATCAGGCAAACGTCGATAGTATACCTGGGGGCGTGAAGAATCTTCGGGAGAAGCAGAAAAATGCCTGCTTGCGGCAGTTGAGCCAGGGGTTCCAGAAACATTCAAAAAGTTTAAGGTAAAAAGTACAAGATTAAGAGTGTTTTGTATCCCAGGCAAGCCGGGGGTATTTTCCCCTTTCTTTTTTGCATGCATGTCTAGAACCTTTTTTACGGTCTGATTGGCTCGTTCCACGATCGCTTGACCAGTGGAGTTATATGGAATGCCATTGATTAAAAAAGGCATCACCAGTTTTTGGGGAGTAATTTGCTTTGTTAGTGCCAATAAATCAAAGGAAGAATTCCCAGAGTGAGGTGCATATGCAGCCTCTGGAATGGGTGGTGCTGGACGTGGTAATAAGACCAAGCGTGCCACCGTATCCCCTCGGTTCATTGTGACAGGGAGATTGGTATAAAATTGGACTTTTATACATGGGATCTATCAAACCTGGAAGCACAAACACTCCTTGTTCCCGAGCAACAGGTGTGGGAAGGATTATTGCCTCCGTTTTCAGAGGCAAGGGTCCAGAATAAAGAGTTTCAGCAACCGTGAGTAGGTTAGGAAAAGTAACAGAAAGAGCAGAAGCCAATTTTAAATCTATGCCAGAAAAACATTGCGAAGCAGAAGAAGTAAGGTCTGAAAAGGATGCAGCCTTTGGAGAGGGGTTAGCTGCAGACTCCTTTGTTAGTTTAACAGGGAACAACTCTGTCTCGGATAGTTCAGAAACGCTTAAATCACCATTGTTTAAAGCCTTTTGAAAAGCACCACCGGGCCGGGAGAGGGGAGGCAACGTGGCAGGAACAGGAGAGGCTGTTTGCTGTTTATCAGGATCCATAAAATTTGCAGGGGCAGGAGGGTTAAAACCTGCTCCAGGGGGTAAGCGAGTGGCCAACATAACAGACGGATTTTTATACGGTGGAGGATCTAATAAAGACTGATGAGGCGATTCAGCATGGGTTTGAATCAGGGTATAGGCAATTTTCCAAAGGCACAAAATCTCTGGGGGGGCTCTCGGAGACTGATGGAGAACAGCGCCGATTTTCCTCCATGTATCTACTTTTAAAGATCCAGACTCCGGATAGGATGAGCAGTTAGCCCATACGTAAGCAAGCAATTTTACAGCCTCAGATTTAGAAAGGTGACGGGTTAATTTCTGTTCCTGATCAGTAAGATATTTTTTCCTGCCAAGTAGCCTCAGCTCTTCCACATGCTGCTTTTGAGCGTGAGACATTCCACCCCCCATACTTACGAAGAGGAGTCAGTTGCCAGCAACTTCGTCGGGTGCACCAAGCCTATTCCAGGCGATAAGTAAAGGGTTGGCAGGGACGTATCCCTCAGTGGATCACGTCGGGGTCACCAGATGTGGTGGTCTCCCATGGAGAATGAGACATGCACGCAGGTATCTCGGGATGAGAGCCCAGAGCTGACTCCAGCACCCTCTTTTATTGTTACTAAGGTTTTTACATCACACAGCGTAATCAAAAAACGTATATAGGGGTGGTTACAATATATCAAATAACACTTTCCAGATGCAAGGCTACAGCAGGTGTTCTTATCAGAGTCTGTCCAAATGGTTGATGAATGCATCCTGTGTCTAGAGCCGGTCAGTTTGTTATCTCTGGGGCCCTTGTGGGAGATGCCCATGGACATTTTTGTGCAATTAATCCCACACATTCCTATTTAGTTGGAATATCTGTTTGGAAGTAGAAAGTGTTAATTCCCTGATTACCAATTAATGGTTGTTCTTTTTTTGTTTTTAGTTTCAATTGTTTGTTTTTGTATTTTGTTTTTTGGTCTATTATAGAGTCCCAGTATTCAGGTTGGACATTCAAGACAAATGTCTTGAATAAACATTTTTTCATTAGGCAACCTACCGTAAATGCCGGCATACAAGGCGTATAAGACGACCCCCGTCTTTATAGCCAGGCCGCATTCCTAGAACGTCATCTTATACGGCGGAAACTACCAGTATTTCCGGCGTATAAGACGACTCGGCGTATAAGACGACCCCCGTCTTTGGCGCTGATTTCAGCGCTCACGGAAGTCGCCTTATACGCCGGCATTTACGGTAGTTTATTATGTCACATACATGTTGGCATGTATTTTTTTATTGTCACATTGTGTTATGTTAAACATGCTTTTCTGTGTATCTTTCAATTTCTATACTATTTTTGCATTCCCGTACAACTGTCACAACCATTTGTCAGCACAGGTAGTAAACTATTTCTTCTTTAAGAGGTTGGTGTGTTCTACTGAATACAGTATTAATTTATCCAAATATTTTCTAACCTACTTAAGTTTGGTTCAGACTTTCTTCTAGGTAATCTAGATGTAGCTTTTGACTTTTTCAGTTTCTGGTTATCAGATTAGTGGGGAAGAAATGGAATTAGTTACTAAATATGTCTTCTTAAACTTATTTTTCAAGCCTAATAATTTGTCATTAAATTCAGTTATCTTTGAAGGTTTTCACCATTGTAGGAGAAAGAGACAATATTGTCACCAGCAAAACATATTAAGGTATGTTAGGGTAATTAAGGTATTCACCACTTATCTTTATTTCTACCTTGGACCACTTCACCTTTTTGAATGTCTACAATTTGTAGTAAAGTATAACACACATAAGCACGCACACACAAACCAATCCATTTGCCTTTTGAAGAAAAAAACACATTTGAGACATTCCTTAGTAGTTTAGACAAATGGATGAAAACAAGTCCTTCAAAATGCGAAGAAATATAAATCAGTCTAGCAGATAATTTTTAAAAACTGCTTATTGAAGGATAAAATCAGAATAAAGAAGAGCATAATTATAAAACGTATTAGGCCAAGTTAGATTTCGTTCCTGAGATAAACAACTCTAGCTGTTTACTCAAGATTACCGACTGAACAGAATCTTGTGCATTGGTCTTGGTTAGTTTAGTAAATAAAAAATGATGCAGTAACTGCAATATTCCTAGAAAAAAAACAACGAGTTGTTTTTTTTTTAAAGGGGGAAACAATTAGCTACCTCCCGTTTGCTCCCTTGGTTTGCTGAGGCTCCTCTTATAGTGAGACGAGCAATCCAAGGAGGAGGGAACGTGCTCCACGCGCTGCCAACACGCGAGCTTTGCTAGCCACTCGGGTCTAGGAATGAGGCGGTGCCACGTAGCGACGCGAGGAATGGAAGCGGAGGGGGGGGGGAAGATAGGGATAAACAGCCTATCGGTGGGTCAATCTCCCGCTCTTCAGGGTTGAACCGCCTTTTCGCTGAAGGCTGCTATGTTTTCGAAGTCGGTGGTTAGGACACATAGACCAAATACCGTAAAGTCACGCTCCAAACTAAACGTTTTTGCAGGAAGGCGGCTGGTGGTCAGGCCTTGTTTTTCTATCCCAAGAAAACTTGGCTGCGCCCCTCTTCCCGTGGCCTGGCTCCTCCCTTTGCTAAGCAGTGAAGGGGCTGGGAATTCTTTCTCTCCACCCGCGCCCCCACCATCCCCCTCTCCACGGTTGCAGTTTGGGGAAGCCGGGATTTCAGCCGAAATTGCTCTTGAATGTTCTCCTCGTTGCGCTTACTTTTCGCCATGGATATGCCGAGAATGCCGCCGACCCAGAGGCGGCGACACCGCTGCTGCTCGCCCCTGCTCCTTGCCTTGCGAGTTAGTTGCGTAGCATGCCAGGCTCCGCCGGTGCCGGCTGGGGAGACCCACTGGGATGGAAAAGACGTGTTGATCGAGCGCAAGTATGTGCCGGGCAAGTGCCCGCGCACTGTTTTTTCCGGCGACTTCGTACGTTACCATTACCATGGTACTTTGTCCGACGGCAAGAAATTCGATTCCAGGTAGCCCCCCTCTTTCCTTCGCCGGCGTGGCGCTGCGGATGTGGCGGGGGGGGGGGGAAGCCATGTAGAGTGCAAATAGGGGCAGGTCCCTGGATGACTTAACTCCAGAGAAAACTCCAGTTAATGGGCCCGGTTGCAGGAAGATGAGTTCAAGTTATCAGTCTCGGGGAACAGCGCATCCCTTCTATGCAGAATCTCAGTTTCTGGTCTTTGGGAAGCTGGTATTGGAAAGACCATCGCTTTATCAGACGCTGGAAAGTCATTGGAGTCAGAGTAGGAAAAGCTTTATGGTAGTCATTAATCAGCACAGAGGAAATCGATACGCAGATAGCCAAAGCTGAATTGAGAACATCGAGATAATTAGGGGACGGACGCACGCACGCACACACACAGACACACGCACACTCATGACAACAGAAGCCACCCTTGGAGGGAATGTAAACATACCACATCTTAATACAGTAATATTAATCTGATCTGGAAAAGCTGGTAGAAGTGGAGAAGCCATTTCCAAGATTATCATTCAGGGAAAGTGCTGCAGTTTGGAGTGGCAAGTGCTAAGGCTAGCAATGGCTGCATCTGTTTTTCTCAAAAGGTGCTTTTTTTCAAATGGCAACTGGACTTTCTTGATTTTTCTTGAGGATGTTTCACTTCTCATCTTCAGTTCACACTAACTGGTGGGGAATGAAAGGTTTATACTCTTTGCAGTCAGCCAGCTGTTAACCCTCTGAGAGTAGTTGAATCACGTGGGACTTAATTTCTCACAAAGTAGATTAAATTGAAGAAGCTTCTTGAGTGAAATGTCTTCAAGAAAAATCAAAGAAGTTGGAAAAATGCACCTTTTGAGTCAACCAGGATGTTTATTAACTGAGAACTTCTATAAACATCATGCTGCAGTTGCTTCCTCCAGGGAAATGATGGAGGTTTTGCTTCAGCTGGATTTGGAGTGTGAGCATGTGATCTAAACTTCTTTTTGGAATGGATCTAATATCATGGATTGTATTCCACTGAGTATTCTGAAGGGGAGTGATTTATCTTTATAATTTATATGTTATATAAATTATGTTTGTTATAAGCATCAGATTATGTGATTGTTATTAGGCTGTTCATTGGAATCTGTATGAGATATATAAGAATGTTTATTATTTTACTGTCAGAAAGAACAAAAACCACAGAGGAAACAAAAAGTTTTCCAAGAATATGCATGGGATTTAGATGGAACCCAGTGGCACTCTTGGACGAAAAAATAATGCTGGAGATAATACTATGCTTTGTAGTGTATCAACTTCTTATAAAGCCTTTAAGTTTATATTAAAAAATTAAAGGCAACTATCAAGAGAAATGTGTACAAAGCATCATGTCATACCTACTCTTAAATCATAAATTGGTTGAATGGAAATAAAAATTAAACTATGTCAGTGAAATGCAATATTTGAATGTTTATTTAACTGACCTAACAATTCACTTCCTTCTAGCTATGACAGGGGCTCTACATTCAATGTTTTTGTGGGGAAAAATCAGCTTATTGCTGGGATGGAGAAGGCTCTGCTTGGTATGTGTGTAAATGAAAGGCGATTTGTAAAGATTCCACCCCATCTTGGATATGGAAATGAAGGAGTTTGTAAGTACAGTTTTCTGTACTTTTTGATGCTAAAATATAATGAGTCAAGACAGATTTATTAAACTGTAGTTAAAATGTAAGGTTTTAACAATTAATTTAACCTATGGGTTATGGATGTATTGCTGACCAGTGCATCTCATATATCTGTAGCTTTGAATATGACAGCATATTTAATTCCCAAACTCTGAATATTCATAATTTCTAAGTTACTAAAGACGTATGTAGGTCAAGGATTGAACTAATGATTCTGTCCAGCTCCTTCTTGTCTTATGTTCAAAAGCATACATATAATATTTAAATAGCCTAGAGAGTCTTAATTGATGTTGATCATGCTATGATGCCTTACTGGTTTAATTTTTTGAAAGAAGATATTTAAGTTCTCATTCTTCAACATTCAACATTCTTCTAAGATCATTGAAAGGATTTTGTGAACATCTCGATCTCTTTAAGAATAAAAGGAAGTAGTTTCCCTATGTTTGTGCAAATAATGCACAATATTTCTTAATGTTGCGCTATTCTTTAATGCAAAAATAGTTTGCACCATGATTAATACAGTATAGCCTTCACCTACATGCCAGTATGGTAAAGGAATTCTGAGTTGCAAACTGAAGACATCTGAAGAGGCCAGTGGCTGAAAGTTGTTATAGTAGAGTAAGACGCTGCCATATTCGTTGCCATGATAGCAGGTCAAAGCAGTCACTAGCCATTTGTGTTTAAACATTACACTTATTTTTTAGTTTAGATAGAGGTTTTTTTGAAATTAAAACGAATGACACATGTCATTATTACTTTGGGCTGCTGATTATGCTCTTGTTCCATCTTTTAATTATTTCTTCTATAACTCACCAGGAGTTTCCACAGGGAACAGGTCAGAAATGATATGTGACTGAAAAATGTCTCTTTAATAAAGATCATGCGTGCAATGCATCTAAAAAAAGTGGAGCTATCAGATAGTCATGGTCACATGACGTTTGAAAAAGTCACCAGATTAAAACTTTTCACTGATCTAAAGAGTCATTTTTTTAAATATCTTGCATGGTTTGAAAATCAGCCTTTCAGAATTTTATCTTTGTTGTGACAGGAATTGGTGGAGAGTTTGATTTGTTTCTTAAATCTGCATTCAAGAACTAATCCAAATCTGGAAGTACAGGTAGTCTTTGACTTATGACCATAATTGAGTCCAAAATTTCTGTTGCTAAGCAGGGAAAGTTGTTAACTGAATTTTGTCCCATTTTACAACCTTTTTTGCCACAGTTTTTAAGTTGAATCATTGCACTTGTTAAGTTAGTAGTACAGTTGTTAAGTGAATCTGGCTTCCCCATTGACTTTGAAAGTCACAAAAAGTGATCACATGTCTCTGAATAATAAGTATGAGTCAATTGCCAGCATCCAAATTTTGATTATGTGACCATGGAGATGCTGCAACTGTTGTCTGAAAACGGTCATAAATCACTTTTTTCAGTGCCGTTGTAACTTTAGACATTTACTAAACAAACTGTTGTAAGTTGAGGACTACCTGTATCTTTCAAGTTAGAAGCTTTAGTTTTCTTGAAAATATTGGAAAGAAAAACTGTATAGCTAAATGTTTTCTTTCTTCACTGCTTTCATGAATGATAATGTTTTAAGATCTTGAGAACAAAGTTTATATAAGTTTTAAGTATCTAAATCAAACATAGTACATGTATGCTTTTCCTTGGGCTTGTTATAAATACATTAAACAAACAAATGGAATCAAAAGGTAGGCTTGTACTATTTTTTTTCAGGACTGTTAATATGTATCCTATAATTTCTCAAAGTAAGTTTTGTTTGATCGTATGTGGCAGTGTCTTACATTGCTGTCCATCAGCAGGAAATGTAAAAATAAATTCTATAAAGAATAGCAGCCCACTGCGAAAATGGACTTAAAATAGTTTCTGTCCATTTCTGAATTATATTTTGGTTTCTCCCATTCTAACTCACTCTATGGTTTGTCTGTTTTATAGCATCTTGTGATAGCCAACTTTTGTAGTCTGTAGTCTGTGACTGATGTCTTAATATAGTGTTTCTTAAACTTTTTATCTTCCTACTATAAAAATGTATGGTGAACCCCCAAAGAGATTTTGTTTATATGTATTATATTCATTGGTATTTGCCACGCTAAAAATTAAAATTGATGTATTGACTTTTGCTACTGGTTCTCATGATTGTTTGATGGGAATTTTAATATTGTATTATTTTTAACATATGTTGGCAAATATTTTGATTATGCAAACCTTTGAGAGGTCTTGGGGAACCCCCAGGGGTCCTAGGACCACATTTTAAGAAACAGTGTCTTAGTATAAATTGTGTAAATAATAATAATAATAATAATAATAATAATAATAATAATAATAATAATAATAATAATAATAATAATAATATAGTTGGAAGGGATCTTGGAGGTCATCTAGTCCAACCCCCTGCTCAGGCAGGAAACCCTATACCATTTCGGACAAATGGCTGTCCAGTCTCTTCTTAAAAACTTCCAGTGTTGGAGCATTCACCGCTTCTGGAGGCAGGTTGTTCTACTGGTTAATTGTTCTCACTGTCAGGAAGTTTCTCCTTAGTTCTAGGTTGCTTCTCTCCTTGATTAGTTTCCACCCGTTGTTTCTTGTCCTGCCTTCTGGCGCTTTGGAAAATAGCTTCACTCCCTCTTCTTTGTGGCAGCCCCTGAGATATTGGAACATTGCTATCATGTCCCCCCTCGTCCTTCTCTTCATTAAACTAGACATACCCAATTCCAGCAGCCGTTCCTTATATGCTTTAGCCTCCAGTCCCCTAACCATCTTTGTTGCTCTTCTCTGTACTCTTTCTAGAGTCTCAACATCTTTTTTACATCGTGGTGACCAAAACTGGATGCAGTATTCCAAGTATGGCCTTACCAAGGCATTGTAATGTGGTATTAACACTTCACGTGATCTTGATTCTGTCCCTCTGTTAATGCAGCCTAGCATTGTGTTGGCCTTTTTGGCAACTGCAGCACACTGCTGGCTCATATTTAAATGATTGTCCTCTAGGATTCCGAGATCCCTCTCACAGTTACTACTATTGAGCAAGGTGCCACCTATGCTGTACTTGTGCATTTGGTTTTTCTTTTTTAAATTTTTTTTCAAATTTTTATTTATAATACAATTAAAAAACATTGGATGTAACGTGACATTCCAGTATATACATTCTTATCAAGTTGTTCCACATTTTACAATCGATTCTTCCTCTCTAATTATACATCTAAATTTTATATACAGTACTTATTCTAAAATAACATATAATTCTATCTTAACGCTAACCTTTAATCCCAACCGTCCTCCTCGAATCCCTCCAGCGGTAAAATTTATCCCAGGTTTTGAAATAAACTGATCCACATTTGTCTTTCAATACCATTGTGAGCCTGTCCATTTCCACACATGCTAATATTTTATACAATGATTCTTCCTCTGTGGGAATTTCTTTGCTCTTCCATTTTTGCACAAACGCAAGCCTAGCTGCAGTTAAGATGTGTAAGACCAAATAGATTGTTCCCTTATTGTATTTCTCTGTAGTTATTCCCAACAAGAAGAGTTCAGGTTTTAACTCTAAGTCCAATATTAATATATCTTTCAGGTAATGAGTCCATTTTTTTCCCTTTTTTGAAGATGGGAACTACATCAGCTCTTTTCCAGTCCTCTGGTAGTTCCCCTGTGCTCCAGGATCTTTGAAAAATATAGTTCAGTGGTTCTGAGATCACATCTGCCAGTTCCTTGAGAACCTTGGGGTGTAATCCATCTGGTCCTGGCAATTTGAACTCATCTAGGCTGGACAGGTGTTCACTTACCATTTTCTTGCCTATCTTAACTTGTATTTCTATTTTGTTTTTTATGGCACTATTTTTGATAGGTTGGTCTGTTTTTTCCCTTTGTGTAAAGACAGATGTGAAAAACAAGTTAAATAGTTCTGCTTTCTAAACCCTGTTGCTTGTCACCTTCTTGCCAGTTTCATCCACTAATGGACCAATTGTTTCCTTCACTTTTTTCTTGTTTTTTACATGTTGAAAGAAGCTTTTTTTGTTATTTTTGACTTTGATTGTAAGCTTTAGTTCATTTTGAGCCTTGGCTTTCCTCACTTCATCTTTGCAGGTTCGGGCTATTTGCTGATGTTCTGACTTAGTTATTTGCCCCTCTTTCCACTTTCTATACTTGTCCTTTTTTATCTTTCAGTTTGTCAGAGAGTTCTTTATGCAGCCATGCTGGTTTCTTTTGAGCCCTGTTATTTTTCTTCTTTGTTGGTATTGTGCTAGACTGTGCTTTTATTTATGGATAATCCCCTTATGGATTACTGCCTTGTCGTGGCGAAGGGGCTTGTGTAACTCAATAAGCTATAAGCTATGCCGTGCAGGGCCACTCAAGACGGACAGGTCATAGCAGAGAGTTCTGACAAAATGTGATCCACTGGAGAAGGAAATGGCAAACCACTCCAGTATCTTTGCCATGAAAACCCCATGGACAGTACTAAAAGGCAAAAAGATATGACACTGGAAGATGAGCCCCTCAGGTTGGAAGGTGTCCAATATGCTACTGGGCAAGAGCAGAGGGCTAGCACTAGTAGCGCCAGAAAGAATGAAGCGACTGGGCCAAAGCCGAAAGGACGCTCAGCTGTGGATATATCTGGTGGTGAAAGGAAAGTCCGATGCTGTAAAGATTTTTTCTCCATAGGAACCTGGAATGTAAGATCCATGAATCAAGGCAAGCTAGACATAGTCAAAAAAGAGATGACAAGACTGAACATCGACATCTTAGGAATCAGCGAACTAAAATGGACAGGAATGGGTGAATTTAACTCAGATGACCATCAGGTATACTACTGTGGGCAAGAATCCCTCAGAAGAAATGGAGTAGCCTTCATAGTCAATAAAAGAATAGGAAAAGCAATACTGGGATACAATCCCCAAAATGACAGAATGATCTCAATTCGAATCCAAGGCAAACCATTCAATATCACAATAGTCC